TGAACCAAGGCACTTCACACTAAGCTACATCCTCAACCCCTTTTTTATTTCTTATTTTGAAACAGGTTCTTGCTAAGTCACTAAATTCCTTAGGCTAAATTCAAATTTGAAGTTCTTCCATAGTCTCCCAAAGTGCTAAGATTACAGGCATGAGCCTCCATATCTAGCAAGAAATAAAAGTTTAAAGTGAGGCCATGTAGGAATGGGAAGTTAACTTAAGAATGTCTTTGGTGAAGATTTTGAAAATGATCTTCACAAGTTCCTGGATTATTTAAAATTCCAAGGGATCTGAGGAGTACTGAAATACTATAATTGGCTTTGGACAATCCATAAATATATGTTTAAGACAAGAAAAGTTCAAGATGGAAAATTTTATGCCGTAGATTATTTTTATCTCTCCGTGCTTTCATTTATTAGTCTTGATCAAAAAGATAACAACCAGACATGGTGGCACATGCTTAGGCATCTACAACAAGAGGGAGGCTAGCTTAACCCCATGAGTTTGAGATCCAGCTTTTTAAAAAGTAGGGGCTGGGTGTGGTGGCACATGCCTGTAATCCGAGCACTTGGAAGGCTGAAGAAGGAGGATTGCTGTGAGTTTGAGGCCAGCCTGGGCTGCATGAGTGAGCTCAAGTCTGCCTGCACTACATAGTGAGACTCTGTCTCAAAAAAATGGTAGTGGGGCACAGTTGAGAATTTTCTATACCTTTGCAATAGAAAATGATAGACAGGGAACTATCAATCTCTTTTTCTTTTTCTTTTTTTTTTTTATTTTTTTTTTTTTTGTGTGTGTGTGTGTGTGTGTTTGTGTGTATGTGTGGCCAGCTCAGCCCACCAGGGGGCAGGGCTGGCTGGCATGTGGTGCTGGGGGATCGAACCGTGGTCCTTATGTTTTGCTAAGCTTGTTCTAAATAGGTGCTTTAGACCACTGAGCCATCTCACCAGCCCCAATCTTTTTTTCTTTTAAGACAGATTCTTGCCATGTAGTTCAGGCTGGCTTCAAACTCACAGTGATCCTCCTGCCTCCCACTTGGGATTGCAGGTTGGCACCACCACGGCTGGCTGGGAGTATCAATCTTTTAAAAAAGCTTCCACCAGGCAGTGCTACAATACCTGTCCTAGATTAAAAACCTGAATTTTAGATTCCAACTCACTAATATCATTTCTTACTCCCACCTAAACTTTTGTGTACCCTCTGGCTGTGTAGGGTTATCTTCTTTGTGTACAGTTCTTCTTGGGTCATGGCTACCAGTCTTTAAGGACAGAAATTGAACTCAGGTCTCACTGATTTCCAAGCTTTGCTCCCCATCCTCTTTATCTGCCCCTCTACAATAACCAGGGAAACTAGGCTCTGCTTTTCCAAGGTGGACAGTGGATCTGGTGAAGCAAGCCTTCCTGGGGTAGATGTGCTGTTCTCTTGCTCAGGTATATACTCATTTCTGGTCCTTTTTCCCCAGAGACTTTCACAGGGACATGTGTTACAAACTAAATCTGGAGAGTTGGGTGTCCAAAAGAGTTTCACGCTGGAACCCAGTTTCCTCAGTGTGGTTTTCACAACTGGCTAGGGCCTTTGGTTATCCAGTTTCCTTCCTGATCCTTGAAGTGAACAGAAGTACTAAAGAAAGTAGTCAGAGATGCGTGGAAAGAATCAGCCAAAGGGAAAATCCACCAAATAGAATATTGGATCAGATCAGCTTGCATATCTCAACTCACCAAATACAAGTAGATTCCAGGTGAGCACGTGCAAGGGAATTTTGAGATATGTTGGTGTGTACCTGAAGAGTAGACAAAGCGAGATTTTGTTTTTAAATCTTGGAAATTGAACACAGGGTCTGCACACTGAGCTACATCCCAGCCTGCTCATCCATCCATATCCATCCTTTCATTTTTCTTTCTTTCTTTTCTTTTTTTTTTTTTTCTTTTTTTGCAGAACTAGGGATTGAACTCAGGCCCTTGTGCTTGCCAGGCAAGTGCTTATTCTACTGAGCTATCTCCCTGCCCCCTCGTTTTTCTTTTTGAGACAAGGTTTCACTATGTAGTTTAGGCTGGCCTTCAACCCTCTTTGTATCCCAGGCTGGCCTTGAACTCAGTGTTATCTCCTGCCTCAGCCTCCCAAGGAATTACAGGTGTGCACCACCACACCTGGCCCCTGGCCCTTTTAATTTTAATTTTTTTTTTTTATTTTTATGTTGAGACATGGTTTAAGTTGTTAAGTTGTTTGGGTTGTACTCAAACTAGTGATTTTCCTGCCTCAGCCTCCCAGAGTGCTGAGATTATAAACATGTGTCATCATACCCAGCTGAGAGAATTTTTATGGTATGTCCCAGGACGTGGCAGTTCCCTCTTAAAGTTTAAGTGCCCCTTTAAAGCTTGTTAGGATATCCATAGGACCTCAGGCCAGTTTTACTTTCTAAAGGCAGTACCTGGATACCAGTTGTGCCTGGTGGAGAAAACTGTCTTATTCATGAACTGTTCACCTATACCTGAGAAAAAGGTCTCCTCTTGGGCCAGCAAGATAGCTCAGTGGTCTAAAGCACCTGCTTACGCAAGCTTAGGCAGGTGTGGGGGACCATGGTTCGATTCCTGGCACCATATGCTTCACTAACCCGCCCTCAGGGCAGGCTGAGCTGGCCTAAATAAGTAAATGCATAAATAAGAAAAGTAGGTCTCTTCTTATTGGTTCTGGGTACTGTCTGCTGCTCCTGTCTGTCTAGGCTCAGAATTGGCAACAGCAGCGTGAGTATCCTCTTTGCTCTTGTACAAAGGTCTAGTTCTTAGAAGAGGTCTTTCAAGATCACCTTGCTTGGCATGAAGTTTTTGGTATAAGACAATAGCCATGGCGTAGGCATGCGGTGTCATCTAGCCTGCCCCTGTATTTCAGGGTACTGGAAATTGAACCCAGGCAAGCTCTACCACAGAGCTACGTTCCAAGCCCCCCTTTTAATCCCTAACCCTTTTTATTTTATTACTTTATTTTTCATTGTGAGATAGGATCTCACTAAGTTGCCCAAACTGCCCTCACACTTTGGATCCTCTTTCCTCAGCCTCTCAAATAACTGATATAACAGGCATGTGCCAATATGCCTTACTTATATCTCTCTTGATCTCTGACTCTTTTGCAGTCTGATCTTACTACCTACTTAGCACTTTCCTGTATGATTTCTTGATCTTTCTTTGAAATCTTTCTTTCTTTGAAATCTTTCTTTCTTTCTCTTTCTCTTTCTTTCTTTCTTTCTTTCTTTCTTTCTTTCTTTTCTTTTCTTTTCTTTTCTTTCTTTCTTTCTTTCCCTTCCTTCCTTCCTTCCTTCCTTCCTTCCTTCCTTCCTTCCTTCCTTCCTTCCTTCTTTCCTTCTTTCCTTCCTTCCTTCCTTCCTGTATGTATTTTAGTACAGGGTCTCACTATGTGGATCAGACTTGTAGTGATCCTCCTGTTTTCAATCTCCTAAGTGCTGTGATTATAGGCACATGCCATCATGCCCAGTCTCAGTCTCCATTTCAGCACACCCCAGGGGCAGGACCAGCACAGCACACTGGGGATCAAACCCCAGTCACTGCACCTGCCTAAGCAGGCGCTTTAGTCTGCTGAGCTATCTGTCCAGCCTGAAATATTTTTCAATTACTATAGAATAAGCACCTTTTACTTCGTTGAAAAAAAAAAAAGCAGTACTAGGGATTGAATCCAGGGCTTTGTGCATGTTAGGCAAGTGCTGTACCACGGTACTACATCCCCAGTACTTATTATTTTGTTTTATTTTGCAGTCCTATGTTAGTTTCTCATGTAACTGAGACTACATTATAGGCAACTACAATCACACCCTGCCCAATATATTGTCTTTTCCTTTACCAATATTACTCCTGTATATCTGTCTACCCTATAGAGAGGGGTGCATGAATACAGGGCTTAAGCCCTGAAAGGCAGCACTCAGGAAACATTCCCTTTCCTTCACCCAGGAAAGAAGCTATGTTTTAATCAGGAGTAGGCCTCAGAATCTCACTGAGAATGGAGTGTATTTGAAATACACATTAAGCCCTTGCTCCTATAGACTCATCTAGGAAATAATAGGGAATAAGGTAGAATCTAAGAGTTGTGGGGGTTGTTTTTTTGGTACTGGGAATCAAGCTCAGGGCCTTGCACTTGCCAGGTGGGTGCTGTGCTGCTGAGCTATATCCCTGGCCCAAGTCTGTGTTTCTTAAGCTTTCCAGGTAGCTCTGATGTTTGTTCTGGCAAAGGATCACTGTTTCCACACAGAAATATATACAGATCCAGTCACTCATTTTTCTGTGTGTGTGTGAGTGTGAGTGTGTGTGAGTGTGAGTGTGTGTGTGTGTGTGTGTGTGTGTGTATGATTGTGTATGCTTGCCTTCTCTTTAGTGCAAGCAGTGTGGTAGAACAGGTGTATGCTCCTATGTGTTCTTTTGTGCTTCTCTTTATAGATCTTGAGCACACTTGTCAGAGGGACATGCAGACCTGTGACCTGCAAGATTCGCATCTTACCATCGGTAAGGATGGGGTGTTACATTTGAAGGTCAGTCCTCTCTGGTGATGTTGCATTTAGGGGGTGTGAGCAATTCCTGAGGCACTGAATTAGGTTTGGTGCAGGGGTGTAGTGGACACATATTAAAGAGCTGGAAGCTATTCCCCTTGGACCTCAGTAACCACACTGTAAATCTTCTTCCCCCAGCTAGAAGATACCCTGAGCCTTGTAAAGCGGATAGAGAGGACCGGCATTGCTGCCATTGCAGTTCATGGGAGGTGAGTGGTCACTTTTCTAGTGACTGACTGGAGAAAGATTCTTCAGCCATTGATCCTCACCAGACCACAGATGATAACCAACTTCTCTCCCATGTATTTAGCCTATGCATGCCTAATCCTCTTTGACATTGACATCCTATGAGTCAAAGGAGTACTGAATAGGCTTGTATTTTCTGTGTCATTCGTGGAGCACCTACTGTACTAGGCCTGCTGTGAGGTTTATATTTTTTTTATTTTTATTTTTTTTTATTTTAATTTAATTTAATTTAATTAATTTATTTATTTATTTATTTATTTATTTATTTATTTATTTATTTATTTGTGGTACCAGTGATTGAACTCATGACCCTGTGTTTGCCAGGCAAGCACTTATTCTACTGAGCTATCTCCCTGGCCCTGTATTTTGTTTTTGTTTTGAAACAAAGTCTACTGTGTAATTCAGGCTGGCCTTGAACTTACAGCAATTTTCTTGCCTCAGCCACCACCTCTGGCTTGCTCTGAACTTTATATATACAAGAGGAAAGAGAAACACCATAGGCCCAGGATGTAGACGTGGTAGAGATAGAGTGACTTGCTCAAAATCGTATCAGGAAGTGGTATAATTAGAATTTTATTCTCTTTCCATTTTATTGTGCATTGGCTTCTTCCCTGAATGACCCCAGGCAGATGGCTTTCCTTATACAGGCGTGGCACTGCCTCTTTTGCCTGTCCTTTTTGGACTACCATTGATTCCATTGACTTTTTTTTTTTTTTTTTTTAATGTATTTGGTATAAGGTCTCATTACACAGCTCAGACTCTAGTATCCTCCTGTTTTCGCCTCCCCAGCACTACAGGCGTGTGACACCACACTCAGACTCGATTGCAGGCTCAACATGCCCAGGAGGCAGGGCCAGTGCAGCATGTGGTGCCAAGGATTGAACCCCGGTCCCTGCACTTGCCTAAGCAGGCGCTTAAACTGCTGAGCTATCTCTCTGGTCCTCCACTGAGTTTTTTAAACAATCTTTGTGTCTGTAGCCAATGTGCTATCTGCAGACAGCTCAGATATTTCTGAAGGTTGTCCTTGGCATCCTAGTCAAATCTGTTCCCTGTGCCCAAGATGTCGTTTGTTTTTTCATTTGTTTGTCTTTGTATTTTTTAGTACAGGGTCTACAGGATCTATAGGGTCTCACTATGTAGGTCAGACTCATAGTGATCTGCCTGTGTTCAGCTTCCCAAAAACTGAGATTACAGGCATGCACCACCATGCCCCGTCTCAATCTCTGTCTCAGGGTGCCTCAGAGGCAGGACCCACACAGTACTCCAGGGATCAAACCCCGGCCACTGTGTCTGCCTAAACAGATGCTTTAATCCACTGAGCTGTTTGGTGGGCCCCTAAGATGTCATTTGGTAGAGAATCCTTGACAGGATACTTCTTGCTCCTCTGGCCAATGTCCCATTTGGTCTGAGGGGTCTTATAGGAGCAGCCCAAGCTGCTAGTGGTGTCTGTCATAGCATTTTCAGAGGACACCCAGAATTCCAATGTAGAAAACAAAAAAATAGTTGTCTCAAGTTGAAGCTAAGAGGGGAATGTATAGCCATACATTTATGTATGTATTCTCCTTCCTGAGGCAGCAGGCTTTGGACTCCAACTGTCTGGTTTCAAATCCCAGCTCGCAGGCTGTAAGCTGGGAAAGTCAACCTTTCTGAGTACCACTTTCCTCAACTGGAAATTAAAATATTGTAATAGGATTGTTGTGAAGCTTGCATAAAATTTTGAATAAAAGCTTTAATACACCGCCTGACATACAGTATTTTCCTGAAAAGGAAGGTGCTACCTTTGTCAGAAGGTGGAAACACTGGGAAGTCAGATTTGGGTGAGTTTAAGGAAGGACTTTCTGCCTATCAGAGCTGTTGAGAAAAGGCTAAAACTGCCTACTGGGAATAGAGGAAGGTAGAGGTAGAGCTGGGTTGGTGGGGCCTTCTAAAAAGTCGAAGAATGTAGCAAAGGAAACACTTGTTGATCCCCTTTCCTGCATGTCTCTGAGCATAGCTTAGCAGAGGCCTCACCTCAGTGTCCCTAAGACTTACTTGGTCATGCACAAGTTTCTTGCAGTTGACCCTGGAGGGGCCCCAGCTTGTATCCTGCTTCCCCTGCGGCTTGTTGCCTACTGCCTGCCCTAGCTGCTCTGGGAGCGGGGGCCTACCCTGTGCTTCTCTTCAGGATCAGCTGTGCAGCTTGGCCTCAGTATAAGCAGCTGTGTGGGAGTGGCCAGCCTGAGCCATGGCAGCTGGTCCCAGTCTCTTGGGGAGGGGAGGATTGGGACACTAGGGGCAGCATTCTTTGTGATCATGGTATCTCCCCTGCCAGGTAAGTATAGGGGCAGCATTCTTTTTTTTTTTTTTTTTTTTTTCTGAACCGGGGATTGAACTCAGGCCATTGTGCTTGCCAGGGAAGTGCTTATTCCACTGAGACATCTCCCCAGCCCCAAGACACAGTTGTTGTTTTTTGGTTGTTTTGTTGTTTTTTTTTTTTCCAGAACCGGGGATTGAACTCAGGCCCTTGCGCTTGCCAGGCAAACGCTTATTCTACTGAGGGGCAGCATTCTAATGGCAATGTCTGTCATCTCTGGCAAAGGCAAAGGATGCCAAGGAAAAGCTACGTGACCTTGCATGCTAGGCTACCATGCTGACCACCTAGAGCATGTCTCACCTGCAGGCTTCTGAGACCTGGATTTGCCTTCTCAGCACAAGCCTGTGCTGAACTGTCCTTCACAACAGCACTCTTCCCCAGAGGTCAGAGAGGCCATGCCCTGCAACTTGACCCTGATGTCCATATGGCTGCCTGAGGTTCAGTAGGGAGATCAGTAAGGTTTGGCTAAGGTAGTCTTTTGTGAGCAGTGACAGGGCTGTTGGCAATCAGCCCTCAGCCCCATCTCTTTTCTTTATCTCCAAGGAAGCGTGAGGAGCGGCCTCAGCACCCTGTCAGCTGTGAAATCATCAAAGCCATCGCTGAAACCCTCTCCATTCCTGTCATAGCCAAGTGAGTGTCATTTTCTCCTGCTTTACTTTTTATGTCCCATCTCATTCAGAAAAGACTTGCCGGCATACAAAAAAAGGAATGAAAGAACATTTAAAAATTTTAAAATGACCATAAATCACTGGGCATGGTGGCACTTGCCCATAATCCCAGCACTCATGAGGCTGAGGCAGGAGGATTGCTGTGAGTTCAAGACCAGCCTGGGTTACATAGTGAATTCAAGCCAGCCTGAATTATATAGTGAGTCTCTGTCTGAAAAAACAAAACAAACAACAAACAATAGGGCTGGAGAGATGGCTCAGTGGTCTAAAGCACCTACTTGGAACAAGCTTGGCAAAGCACAGGGACCACGGTTCAATCCTCCAGCACCACATGCCAGCCAGCCCCGCCCCCTGGTGGGCTGAGCTGGCCACACACACACACACACACACACACAATAAATAAATAAATAAATAAATGTTAAAAAAATAATAATAATAATAATGACCAAAAGGGAAAAAGGATAAAAGTTAGGGTAAAAAATAAAGTTGTGAATGAAGTTGAAAAGTGCCTGTTGTACACATAAGGTTGTTTTACCTTTGGTGGGAGGTTGGCATAGATGTGCTAGGGCAGCTTTGAGCTCTCAGGATCGGCTGGAGTGGGATTATTTAAAGCAAGGAAAGCAAAAATGTGGCCACTGAAGTAGCACTATAGTTCCTTGACTCAGGGAACATAGGCAGGTCATAGAAACCCAGGTGACAAAAAGAAACCCAGGTGTGCAGCTGGGTGTGGTGGCACATGCCTGTAATCCCAGCACTCAGGAAGTTGAGGCAAGAAGATCACCACACACTCAAGGCTAGCCTGGGCTACATAGTGAGTTTAAGACCAGCTTGCACTACATAGTGACACCCTGTCTAAAAAAAAAGAGAAAGAGAAAGAAAAAAGCCAGACAAGCATTCTGCACAGCTTTTGTCTGCAGGTGTGAGATACTGGTGAGCAGCCCAAGGCTACTCTGTCCAATTCAGAGCCTCAGCCTAGAAGGCCTGGCACAGAGAAGCTCTGATAGAAGACATATATGACTGGTGGGAGGGAGGAGTTAAGGGTAGATGTGGTAGCCAGGGCCTGCATCCCCCAGGCAGGAAGTTTTAGAGAGGTTTGGAGAAGACAGGGCTACTCAAGACCCTGGAGCCTGTTACTGCTACTGCCACCTGATGGTTCTTCCCACAACACAGCTATCTCTTAACTGAGGCTGCCATCTGACATCTGCTAAAATAAATGAGCACAGAGCAGTTTCTGTTAAGGCCTTTAGAGCAGCAAGGTGGAGGGAGAGGAATTATGACCAAACTAGACCTTTTTTCTTCCCTTTACAGATTTGACCCAATCCTTAGCATATGGGTAAGTCTTCAGCATGGGAGTTTGCTGTTGCCCCAATATCCTAGTTTTAGGTCCACATTTTCAGAAGTAGCTTTGATCACTGTGTCAGATGTAAGAGACGGAAAGTAAAATCTCTGGAATACCTGTTAAGTTCCAGGCATGACTCAGGCAATTTTTCATATATTGTCTCACTTAGTACTCCTAACTTCATAATGAGGAATGCACTTTAATCCCACTAGTTGAGGCTCTGGTAGCTGAAGGGATCTGACCAAAAGCTACACTGTTAGTTGGTTCTGTGTTGGGAACACTCCTAACCCTCCTGTTGCTTTTTCAGTGGAGGGTCTCATGATCACATCCAGCAACATCTGGACATAGAGAACTTCCGACAAGCCACAGCTGCCTCTTCAGTGATGGTGGCCCGAGCAGCCATGTGGAACCCATCTATCTTCCTCAAGGGTGGTCTGCGTCCCCTGGAAGAGGTCATGCAGAAGTACATCAGATATGTACGTCTCTGCACTGTGTGTGCGTGTGTGTGTATGTGACGGATCTAGCTGTGCAGCTCAGGCTGGCCTTGAGCTCATTCACTTTGTAGCCCAGGCTGGTCTTGAACTCACATGATCCTCCTGCCTCAGCCTCCCACGTGCTGGGATTACAGGCATAAACCACTAGGCCTGGCTCTGCAGTCTTTTAAAACCACCATTTCTCATCTGCCATGCTCCTACAGAAAAAAAGGATTGTATGGGCCCTCCAACTGCCAGCAGCCCCTGTTACTGCTGTCCTTCTCTTTTCTTCCTCTTTTTGTTTATTTATTTATTTATTTATTCTTTGGTGGTACTGGGGATTGAACTCAAGAACCTGTGCTTGCCAGGCAAGCACTTATTCCACTGAGCTATCTCCGCAGTTCCCATATTTATTTATTTTTAAATCTTTAAATAGCTCAGTGGATTAAAGCACCTGCTTAGGCAGAGGCAGGGGCTGGGAGTTCAATCCCCAGGCCTGCTGTGCCAGCCCTGCCCCTGGGGCGCACTAAGATGGCAGTTGAAACTGGGTGTGGTGGCGCATGCCTGTAATCCTAGCACTTGGGAGGCTGTAAACAGTAGGATCACTACGAAGCCAATCTACACAGTGAGACCCTGTACACCCTGTCCTAACTGTACACCTTGTCCTAAATTTAAAAAATAAATAAATATCTTTTATTTATTTGGTACAGGGTCTCACTATGCAGCATGCAGCTTGGACTCAGTGATCCTCCCGTCTCAGCCTCCCCAGTGTAGGGATTTGGTAACTTGGGTTTGGTAGCTGACATGGTATACCTGGGGTTCCAGGATTGAACGCAGGTCCTTGCACTTGCCAGCCAGGTGCTTAGACTGCCTGAGCTAGCTCCTCAGCCCCAGTTTATTTTTTGAGACAGGGTCTTGCTATGTGGTCCTGACTGCCTTGAATTTGTAGCAGTCTCCTGCCTCAACCTCCTGAGTAGTAGGGTTACAGGCATGTGTCACCATGCCCAGCCCCCCCTTTTGAGCTCTTTAGTATAGGATTGGGTTTCCCCAGGTGCCGAGTAAAGAGAGAACAGTGGTTCATGTGCCCCTGCCATCACCTACTTGTGAAGACTCAAGAATGTAGAGGTGATAGCAAGGACTTTCTGGATCCAATGTGCTGCTGAGACCGAAACACATTGTTTTCTTTCTCTATCCTAGCTCCATATACACACGTGCCTGCACACAGACAATGAGATTCTGTGTCACGGAAAACAGGCATGCTTCTGGGTTGGCACAGGTACAGCCACAGCCAAGAGGAGCCACTATTGTTGTTGCTGGGGCCAGATTATCCATAGAGACTTCTTACCTGATTTACCACATCTTTCAAAATATAAAACTTAGCCCCTCAGGCCTGGGAGACAGCTCAGTGGCATAAGCACCTGCCTGGCATGTGCAAGGTCCAAGTTTGATCCCTGGTACCACAAAATAGACAAACAGAAAACTACCCCTTCCTGTGCTTTATGCTGGGATCTGAACCTAGGGCCTCAGGCATACTAGTCAAGTGCGCCTGCACTTGCTCGCTCTCTCTCTCTCTCTCTCTCTCTCTCTCTCCCCTTTTCTCTTTTTTTGGGGGGCCAGGATTTCACTATCTAATTCAGGCTGGCCTTGAATATGCAGTCCAGGCTGATTTCAAATGTGCAGAAATCTTCCTGCCTCAGCCCCCTGAGTACTGAGATTACAGGCCTAAACCACCTCACCTGTTGGGAATGGCTTTTTGTAAAGCAGTTTCTTCTCACGAGGAGCTTGGTAGTAGTGGCAGAGACATTTCCTTGCAAAGGAATTTTTTGTTGTTGTTTGTCTTTGTTGTCTTTTTGTGATAGGATTTCACTATGCAGTTCAAGCTGGCCTTGAAGTTACTTTGTAATACAGGGTGGCCTCAAATTTGGGGTAATCTTCAAATCCTACCTCAATTTCCCCAGTTCTGGGATTATAGGTGTGTGCCACCATGCCTGGTTTCTACAAGCAAATTTTTGATGCATTCAGCTAACACTGGCACTTTGATTGGTTGCACCTGTCTATAGGCCGTGACAGTGAGGGGTTCTCAAATTCTTCAGTGAGTTGGGAATGAGAAGAGGGTCCAGCTCTCACAGGAAATTTATATAGTCCTCTGCAGTGCCAGGCTCACCTATGCCTGGGAGTGCCTATGCCTCCCCATGCCACAGCTGTGCTCTGGCAGTTGTGACTGCATAGAATGTGCATATTATCATGGCTGCCTAAGCTGGAGGAAGTAGAAGACCATGTTTTGTGTCCAGGGCCAGGCAGTCTGTCCTAGAGCTTCCCCTTCAATGCTGCAGTTTTTATTCTTTTGGTTCCAGGTATCCTCTTGGATAGGCTGGTGACCACTGGTTTTCCATCAGTCTGGGTCAGCTTTGCCTCAGCCTAGGTCAGCTCTTCAGTTCTGGCCAACTGGCAAGTATGTGCTGAGCCTGCTCACTGGGTGAAAGGTGATGTTCTCACTCTGCTCAACCTTCCCTGAGCAGATCTCAAGAGGGTGTGTTGTCCTGGAGAAAGGGAGTGGCCTCAAGTGTTACAGGACTGCTTCTGGTCTAACCAGGTGCCTTCTGGCCCAAACAAGCTGAATCATGGCTCTGATGCCAGCCAGGGTTTACCCATTTATTCCCCTCTCTGTCCTAAGCATGCTGCCACACGTTCCCAGACACTGATGACATAGGCTCAGGTAGAGATTCTACAGTAGTTAGGGATGAGGGATGGGATGGGATTCTGGAAGAAGCAGTCTTCCTTTGCTCTTGCTCTTCTGCCCTATCCCAGCCATGCTGTGTCTGTGTAGACCAGTTATGGCAAACGTATGGCATGCATGCCACAGTGGACTGTTTATATCATTGAAAGCTCTAAAAGATTCCCCATCACTGACCTAGACAGTCTTCTTGCCTCCTTGGGCCTCACTCCCTAGGCTGTGGGAAGGGATAGCTGATGCACCTCTTAGTTATTGAGATACAGAAACAGACAGGAAATGTGTAAGCACGGGGCTATGCCCTACCTATGTAAGAGAAGTTGGTGAGAGGCTAGTTAAGGTCCTGCCTGTTTTGCTTAGGTTCTAAAACCTAGAAGAATCTTATTTTTATCATGGGACTGGACTTGCCATGCCAGAATTTGGTGTTCCCCTTTGTCCCAGAAAATATTTAGCACTAGGTTCTTCATAGTAGGCTGTGGAAACAGGAAGGGGGTCCCTTCTACTTCTATGGCTCAGGCAGGCTGTCTAGGAAAGTGTGCTTTAGGTTGTGGGCGTTGGCTGTGACCCTTAATCTTTGTACTGCTAGCTAGGGGAATAGGTGGCTAAGTAGACGTGGCTTTTCTGAAGGAGTCACATTACTTTGGCTATATGTATACCTCTTGTGCCCCCTAGGAGCCCCTTCCCTGCCATGGGAGCCTACAGCAGATAGGCTCATGCCAGTTCTCCTCCTAGGCAGTGCAGTATGACAACCACTACACCAACACCAAGTACTGTTTGTGTCAGATGCTACGTGAACAGTTGGAGTCACCGCAGGGAAGGTTGCTCCATGCTGCCCAGTCTTCCCAGGAAATTTGGTAAGAAAAGCAATGGATCATCCAACTGTCCTTGCAGACATTGCCCAGGCTTGATTTTGAGCCTTAAGCTGACCTTCTGAGGACCCAGGGACACAGCCTGCTGGACATGGATGTGGAGGAGTGGGTCATTGGTACAGCTTTGCCTCATAGAAGAGAATACCTTTAAAACTCTGGAATGTTCCATTCTGAGACTGATTTCAGTAGCAGAAATTGGAACTAGGGCACTAGTAGGGTAGAAGAATGCAAAGGATAGGCTTGGCAATTCTTGAGGAGAAAGAGCTCTTCCATTAATGCTCACATACCAGGGACCTCCCAATGGTCAGGAGAGAGAGTCCCTGGCCTGAGCCTACACCCCTTATACTGCCATTGGTCCTCAAGATCCAGTGCAGCTCCAACTTAGGTGGTTGACATGAGGTGGGTCCTTCATAGTTTAATCTAGTTCTGGTTCCCTTAGTTCCATCTGTCTGCTTCTTTGTCTTCATTTCTGTGCTTCTACGGGTCCTCTGCTTGGAAGGGATACCTCCTCATGTGGTCTGTATCCTCCCTCCTCTAAGAAGCCTTTCTGAACCACTCTCATCCTTAGCGCTCCATCTTCTCAGGTGTTCTCTAGTCTCCAAGAGCCCTCCTAGCAGGGAAAAGCCCTGCCAGAATCCTTCCACCCCTAGGTTTTGACATTGCTTCTGTCCCTGTCCCACCCAGCTTAAGCAGCTCAACCTTGAGAACACAATATAAGTCTACAGCTCTGGGTGATACCTCAATTTAGGCTACTTGTGGCCACTGCTTGTGGCCCAGTACAAACTGCTTGGTGATCAAACCTCTGTCTCTTTCTTATGTGAGCCACATGAGGATAAGGCTAAAGCACCGCCACCCTGCCCCCAAGCACTGGATCAGCTTAGTCACACCTAGCCAGGGACACCTACCAGTTTGGCCATCCTTGGTAGAGAGACTGCAGGTGACCTGTAGAACTTTTCCTCCCCAAGCCAGCCCTCCTCTATCCATGCTCAGAAATTCATGTTCTCTCTCCAGCTTCTAATCCAAACAGACCTCAGACTTGGGGTGGGTAGGTGCTACCTTCCATTGCCCAGACCCCCAGTGGAGTTTTGGTGTATATGATCCAGGAGTTTCTTAATTGTGGAGCCCTTTGTTCCTCTAGTACCACTGGTGCTGCTCTACTATGGTATCTGTCCAGTTCTGCTTCTTTCTCCATAGTGAGGCCTTTGGCCTTGGTACCTTCTATGAGGAGACCACACGAGAGTTAGATGCCCGGAGGGCTGAGCTTTTGGCCAGGACTCCAGAAGAGTTGGGGGAGCCAGCTGAAGATTCCTCCGGTGTCATTAAGATGGCCGTCAAGTTTGATCGGTAGGTTTCTAGTTTGGCCCAAGAATGGGCCAGGGTCAGTGCCAGGATCTGACTGGCCCAGCAAACTGGCTGCCATATGCAATTGGTGGTGAACTTAGGGATCACACGTCTCCCTGGTTTACATACTTGTCATGAATTTTCAGCATCGCCAAGAAGGTATTTTTTTGGAAGACAGTAAGCCAAGGCAGCACTGTTGGTGTGCATGTTGTCCCAAGGACTATAGAACTCCTTTTTCTTGATTCACTCATTCTCTCAGGGTAGGGGACTTCCCTCATGTTCCGGAAAGTCTGTGGTTTTCCCCTGATCTTGAGGAGCCAGCTATCTGTGTTGAGCTCCCAGTAGCTGCAGGAGCTCACTCTTATTTGGCTCAGTATCCCTGCCCGGACCCACTGTCCCACACCAACCCTGTGGGACCCTCTCCAGACAGGTGTAGCCTCAGGCTGATTCTTGTCTCAGACTGTAACTCAGCTTTGAATGGTGCTCTCATCCTTGTCCTCTGCCATCTGGATTAGAGCCTTTTTTCAGTCCACAGGCCCAGTCCTGGAGCCAGTCTTTTCTGTCAAGGACTTCGGGGGTGGGGACGGAAGTATAGCTGTTGGCCAGTCATATGCCAGAGGGAGCTCCCAGTGGGAAGTTGGAACTTGTCCTTCCTACCCTGTCCATCTGTTATAGAGAAACCAGAGTCTGTTGTGTCCATGGTTGCAGCAGATCATCTTGACTCTTGGCAAACAGAGTATGCACTGAGCTAGACTGATATTGTATGACCAGCTGTGTTGTTTACTTCTACCCATTCCCTCTGATCTTGAGAGCCAAACTGGACCTTCTTTCCTGACTATTGACAGTAGTTTTACAGGGTTGAGCTCAGAGTACTTGATCCTCTCTATCCAGTATGTAAACATTCTGAAACTCAGTCTCTCTTCAGGGAGACCCTAGTCCATAACTTGTGGTAAGACAGGAAGGGTTTCCCAGGAGAATAGCCATAGGAACATTAAGGCAGCAGCCTGGTGTCTGTTCCTCCAGTTGTGTAATTCCTGTCAGCAACTGAAGGGGGCCCTTGCTGAAGAAGGTAGTGGAGGTGGTAGGTAGTCCCTAACTGCTGCTGCTTCTTTCCCCAGAAGAGCATACCCACCCCAGATCACCCCCAAAATGTGCTTGCTGGAATGGTGCCGGAGAGAGAAGTTAACACAGCCTGTATATGAAACCGTGAGTTCTGGCTATGGCCTAACCTGCAGCCAGCCACAGTGCTGGTGCCATCACCCCTTACCCCACGCCCAGCATCTGCTTAGCAGGCTGCTTGGCTGGTACCTCATCTTGCCCTCCATCACTCTGCCTTTGGCTTGTTGTCCAGTTCTGGCATACACATCTTTGGATCCAGCCTCAGTCAGTGCAGTACATAACTGGGGTCCCTGAGTTAAAAACCTTGAAATAGTCTTTCTACATTTCCCTTTGTTCTTATAGGCACTGCATATTTCTAACTGGCCTTCTGGCTTCCAGCCTTGTAGTTTCTGGACCTTATGTCCCTATTTGCCGCAGTAACTTTTTGGGTTTTTTCACACAAGGTCTCACTGTGTAGTATAGGCTGGCTTTGAACTCACTATGTAGTCCAGGTTGGCCTCAAACTTATAATCCTCCCACCTTAGCTTCATGAGTGTTGGGATTACATGGGTGTGCCACCACACCTGCAAGAGTGACTTTTTCCAAAATAAATTAAACCTCTGTGTCCCATTATAGAAGCTATCAGCTCCCCTGTGGCTGTATATTCAGCATAGTGCATACCCCCATACCTCACTACTTTAGGTCTCATCTACTCAGTACTCTCTCCAGTCATATCACCTAGTCCCTCTTCCAGGGTTTGCCTTCTCTGTCCCATTTACTATCCTCTCTCACCCCTTTGCCATCTGGTACACTCCTCATTTGCAGGGACATCCAAATGTCAGGAGGAAGCCCCATAATATACAGTGAAAGACTGTGACAGCCCTGTGCTTAGGTCCATGAGAGAACTGTGGACACACTCATTATCATTGTCAGTTTGTATGTCTGTCCTTTTCTCATGCACCAGACACTTTCTCATGGAAAGCAATTGTGATCAGGCAGCCTTCATTTGACTTGGGTTGGAAGTACTTCCCTTTATCTACTTTTGAAGAGATGCAGCAGATTGGCCTCTAGGGAACCCACCTTATTTCTTTCTCTCTCTGCATTAGGTTCAACGACCTCTAGATCGCCTATTCTGCTCTACTGTCACGGTTGCAGAGCAAAAGTACCAGTCTACCTTATGGTGAGTTTCTTCATCAGAGGTCATGAGGCTTGGCATGAGGAGATCTGAATCCATCATAGCCTGAGAAGGTTAAGCTATACATGGGCACTGGTGCCCCACCTGATGCCCTTACTCAGTTTTGTCAGAATTTCTGCCAAGGGTATGCAGAGTTGGTAGAACCTTCTAGCTTCTAGTCCTATACCTTGCACACCTATGTTACTGTCCTATGTTTTGTCTATCTAGGGACAAGTCCAAGAAACTGGCAGAGCAGTCTGCGGCCATCGTCTGTCTGAGGAGCCAGGGCCTCCCTGAGGGTCGGTTGGGTGAGGAGAGCCCCTCCTTGCACAAGCGCAAACGGGAGACCCCTGACCAGGACCCTGGGGGCCCCGGATCTCAGCAGCCAGCATTTCCTGGAGAGCTATGCAAGAAGCCCTTCATGGCCTTGGAGAGTGAAATGAGCCCCCTGGAAGGCCGGTGACTACTACTGCCTCTGCCCTGGTGACTCACTCCATGAGCCTACCTCTGAGATGGCCTTGGATACCAGAGGATAAACCAGATGCCACTGGGCAATTTGGTGGTCCTAAGTGGAGGGAGTTACAGGTCCAGGCCCAGGCCATTAGCCTGAAGCACAGGCCAAAGAATACCCCAGGGTACATCCCATCTTCCCTGGTGGGTCTGAGGTATAGGGCCAAGTTTCCAGATTTGGGTTTTTTTTTTTTTTTGAAAACAGGAAGCTTTTCAGATGACACCTCATCAAGCTGACATTGGTGCAGTGCAATAAAGATACCCCCTAACCTCACCCATGGCTGACCACTTAAGCCTTGGGCATCTTGAAACATGGATTTGTGTCCTGCCATAATTATTCCATTCCTACCCTCTGCACAGAGATGGAATTTCCCAAAGCATGTCCCACTAGGCACAGTGGTGCATGTATGTAATCCCAGCACTTGGTAAACTGAAACAGGAGAATTGCTGCAACTTTGCAGCAAGCCTGGGCCACATAGTGAATTCAAGTCCAGCCTGAACTACTTAATACCCTGTCTCAAAAAAAAAAAAAAAAAAAAAGGGAAAAACAACAACAACCTAAGCACGTCCCCTTCCCATTCTATGGATTTGGTAGAGGTGGGGAATGAGCTATCACCTTTGATGCCCACTTGACTTTGACTGAGCCAGGAATGCCCTAAAACCCATTCTCCTTATGGGAAACTTGAGCTCCTAGGTATCAGTTGATTTTCTTGATGGAAATCTGTGGAATCTGGGAGGAGGACTAGGGCATCTGAGGCCCCATTAAGAAACCATCCCACGGGCTGGGGAGATAGCTCAGTAGAATAAGCGTTTGCATGGCAAGTGTACAATCCTGAGTTCAATCCCCAGTACCACAAAAAAAAAAAAAAAGAAAAGAAAAGAAAAACCATCCCAGTGAGTCTGGGTGGTAACCTGAGTGTTGGCCTTGAAAACAGGAAACTGTTTGACCCCCGAGTCTCTTTTAAGCCTAACAGCTGGCTGGACTCAGACCTAATAAAGTACCTGCCCTGGGCAGGGGGCACTGCAAGCTGCTGATGACAGCAGTTTGGTTACTGCAGTTCACAGCTTATATAACCCCTCCCCCAGTCCCACTTGGGGCGGAAGGAAGTGGCAGATTCTCTTTAATTTCCTCTTGGCAGTGAGAAACAAACAAACGACTACCACCACATCTCTTGGGGCCTCCCCCGCTTACTGGGAGGGGCATTCTGACCAAAGGTCCCCGCCCCACCCCCAGCTTCCTCCACTGTAAACATGCTGCCCTGTCTGTACCTTTGCCAAGCTGTTTAGGGGGAGGATTCACCTCTGGGCCAAGGTCCTCTTCTGTGCATCTCCCTGTGGCAAGCCTCACAGCTCTGTGGCAACCCAACCCCAAGGGGGCCAGGCCTCTATGTCACACCAGCAGCCACTCTGGGTCAGGTTTTGATGAGTGAGGCTTTATCTTAGTCCAGGTGCTTCCCTGCCTAGCCACCCCACTTGCTCTTCTAGGTGCATATAGATAAGGATACTATACACTCAGCTGCCTCACACTGCACTTTACAGTTTGACCTTGGGCAACTCCTGCCTAGCCCTCTCTGCTTGCAGGGGCCCTTCTCTGACAGTGGATCAGCTGTCCTCTGCTCTGTGAGATACAGGAAGATAACAACCCTGTGATTGAGTGGCTAATGGAGTCACTCCATGCCAAGACTGCCCTCGCTTCCTAGATTGGTGCACCCAGAAAAGCCCACCTCCTCCATATAGAATTGTCTTGGTCCCGTCTCAGCTACCAAGCTTTAGGCACAATTTATTTTTATTTTTTATGAATTTAGGACAGGGTCTCCAGGGTCTCACTACACAGGTTGGACTTGTAGTGATTCTCCTGTTTTCAGCCTCCCAAGTGCTGGGATTACAGGTGTGCACCACCTGTCTCTCAGTGAGACTCAGGGGCGGGGCCAGCAGGGCAGGCCAGGGATTGAATCCTGGCAGCTGCGCTCTGCCAAAGCAGGCACTTTAATCTGCTGGGCTATCTTTAAAAAAAAAACAACAACAGGGGCTGGTGAGATGGCTCAGTGGTCTAAAGCACCTACTTAGAACAAGCTTAGCAAAGCACAGGGACCGCGGTTCAATCCCCCAGCACCACATGCCAGCCAGCCCCGCCCCCTGGTGGGCTGAGCTGGCCACACACACACAAATAAAAAAAAATAACTAAAAATGGTGTCAATCAAAATGATCCTTTTACCTTTCCTTATGACAGACTAGATTTGGGCAGGCAGATAGGCCCCATGGGCACCCCCTCCCCCATGCCTCCAGCACTCTAGGGAGAGTGCCCTGGGGACATGGCATTGGATGCTGAGATCCAACTCCCTAGTGGGACTGGGTGTTGATCTCAGGCCTCTGTTTCCATCAGTGTGATTTTCCTGAGTAAGCCCTTGTCCTAGCAGGTCAGGTTCATTTCTGAGTTGTGGGAAATGAGCAGCAAAGATAGAAGCCTGATATTAGGATAGCAACTGGAGATACAGCTGAAAGGCACAGCGTTTACCTAGTATGCACAAGACCCTGGTTTGATCCCTAGCAACACACACACGCGGGATTATAGGGGCTCTGAGGGTGCTGGGGGGGGGGTTCATCTGCAGGGCAAGAAGTGAAGAGGGGATGCACTCTGAGGATATCTGGCAAAGATCCTGGGTACATATTGGCCCTCAAATGATCTCACTTTTAATACATCTTACTGTACTGCTCTCAAAGTGATCTTGTCTAAAACCTAAGACTGACTGAGAAGGCAAGTTGATCCTGAAAGTTCCACCCATCAGCCTTACCAGGTCCACCCTGCACTAGGCCTACCAGTCCTCTGCCTGGGCTAGTAACCACACTTAGCCATCTATTCCAGCCACCTTGACTGAGGCCCTCCCCATAGTGCATCAGATTTTGGAGATGAATGTTTTGATATAAGCATGAGGTGGAGGGATAAGGCTAGATAGGATGGCAGGACTTTCAAAAGCACAAAAGAAGACAATTTGCCAGGGTAGAGGTGCACACCTGTAATCTCAAGCACTCAGGAGGCTGAGGCAGGAGGATTACTACTCAGGACCAGCCTGGACTACAAAATGAGCTCTAGGCCAGCCTGAACTGCACAGTGACTCTTGTCTCAAGAAAACAAGAACAACAAAAAGCCTGAATTTATGCAAAAATAGGGGGGAATCTCTTGAGCCTCCCACATACTACTCCTGGTCAGAACTCTTCCCTAGCTCTCTGACTGCCCTCTGGACCAGGTCCAAAACCCTTAGCCTCGTGTTAGAGGACAAAATGCTGACCTGTCTTCTCAGCAACCTGTGCTGACTTCAGCAACTAACTTTCTAAGGTTGTAGTTGGCTGGTCTTATTCTCTTGGCCCATACTGGGTAGGACCTGCTGAAGGGCAGTCCTTGTATCCTCTATAGCCAGTGTTGGCATGGGGCAGGACAGAGCCTCAGAAACCTAAAATAAGACCTCAAGGTGAAGAGAATGCAAGACACAGAGGGGAAGAACTTTTCTAAACTCCAAGGTTTCTCCTGTATTCCCTAGTATAAAACAAGAGGCTATGGGGTCTGATGGAGCACACCTGTAAACTCAGTACTCAGGAGGTTGAGCCAGGCCTGCTTTGAGTTCAAGGCCAGCCTAGGCTACAAAGTGAGTTCAAGCCTGAACTACAAATCAAAACCTGTCTCAAAAGTCAAAACAAGAGGCTGGGTGAGCTAAGCTATACCATCCCATGGCTCTGAGGGTATAGGAGGGCCTTCACTAAATGTAGCAGGAAGGCTAGGTTTATGGCAGTTGATAAAAGATATAGCTCTCCTTAATCTTCATGCTTGGCTTTTTTTTTTTTTTTTTTCAGAACCAGGGACTGAACTCAGGCCCTTGCACTTGCCAGGGAAGCACTTATTCTACTTTGCCATCTCCCCAGCCCCATGGCTTGTATTCATACACTTAGAAGGAGAATACAGAAGCCCCCAGTCCTTGGCCACACAGTTCTATCAGTTGCACTGGTTTCTGTTTCACAACACTCAGAGAAAGCTGGAAACTGGTCAGATGACCTCCAGAAGCCTTGGAATGAGGCTAACAAGCATGTGTGCCTTCCAGTTTCTTAGAAAGTGGTGACTTGCTTCCTCATTTAGCACCCACTCTTGTCTTAGCCCTCATCACTGCATGTTAGATCACCAGTTTTCCCCACACCAGAAACCCATCCCACAATATGATCCCCTTGAGTACTCTCCAGATGCTTGATGCCTGAGAACACAGATGTATTCTCTGTGGTTCCATCCCAGTGGGGTGGGGTTGGAGGTGTTGACAGGCCCAGGCTCTACTTCTTGACTCCCCTCTGGCTTGACTGGATGAGTCTCTGGTTCAGGTGAAGGCATGTCTGGAAGTAAGATGGCCTGGATAAAGGTCTCTTTTCTCAGATGACATCTCTCAGATGACAAACTAAAAGGTATGTATGTGGGAGTGGGAAGGAAGATATAACCTGAAGAGGCTTTAAATTTTATGGGGATTGGGAAGTAAACTGGCGAAGGATTGGGGACCCTAAACTGTACCAGGATTGTGTTACGTGTACTAACACTTGGATGAGCAACCTGTTAATGGCAGAGGGCTGCAGCTAACATGGCATTGTGCTAAGTTCTCCAGTCAGGCCCTCAATGTTGAAGATCCTCTGAAGACAGGGTAGTTCATTGAGGGTTTTCCACTCACCTCAGCTATGTGCTCCCTCTTCTTGACTACTTTTATCCTCTGCAAGTCCCCTGCTCTAAACCTTTCCATGGCTCCCCCATCCCCACATGCTAAAGCCTGGGGCCCTCACAGTAGCCTACAGCACTTTCCCTACTAATACAGCCTTACTTATCTTTGCTTTGGTCCACTGTATGTACTTTTTTTTTTTTTTTTTTTTTTTTTTTTGAGACAGGATCTTGCTACAAAGTTCAGGCTGGCTTTGAGATCCTGTCGATCCTCCTGCCTCAGCCACCTGAATGCCATGATTACAAATGTATGCCACCATGTCTGACTACTGTATGTACTTTCTGGTCTCCATGTCTTCAGGAATCTATTCTTTGTCTGGAACAAACTTTCCTTACCTCTTGCCTGTCTCCCATTCCTACCCATCTTGTAGAGGACCTTTCAGCCAGAGTAGTTTTGAAATTTCAGAGCTCTTGGCAGAACACTAATCTCTCTGTAATTATAGATTTGCTTTCCTCCCCCTCCAGTGCCCCTGAAAGGAGACTAATTTATCTCTGTACCCTCCAGGGTCTGCTCAGGTATAAGCACAAAGCTCTGAGCTCCTAGGAATGAACCTGTCCAAGATGAACATTTCACATGCTCAGGACATTGTTTTCTCTCCTGATCTAAGGCTTCATTGGGCTCTCTTAGTTGAATTTCCTGGCAGCTAAGAAATGACTGAGAGTTCTACAAGGAAGTCTCCCCATCAACTCCTTCTCCCAGGGGATTTTGGGATGTTGTGGGCCTTGTGGAGTGGCATTTCTGAAGCCTTTCATTTATATGAAAACCGGTGTGGTAGCTGAGTTCATCTAGCAACGCTCACTTAGGGATGTAATGTGCTGCAGGCTCTGTGCCCAGTGCATGGAGCCCGTGAAAGTAGTGTCTGTAGATTCCCTAGCTACACAGGTGCCTTGGTGGAGCCTTGAGTAAACATGCCAGGTTCAGTGTCCCCAGACCCCATAAGGCGGTGTCTTAGGCTGTCCTCAAGGGACGGAAGGTACCCTGGAGAGGGGCCAAGAGTGGGGCCTGCACGCAATATCACTTTTCACTGGCAGCCACCAGTTTGGGTGGCTTGATCCCTTCTGTGTTCGTGTCTGTGTATTAGGACACAGACCTTTGGTGCAAATTTAACAAGGGACCTTCCTGCCATAGTACTAGCACACGCCTATAACCCCCATACTCGGGAGGCTGAGGCTTGAGGATCAACGTGAGTTTGAGGCCAGCATGGGTTACACAGTTCAAGGCCAGCCTGAACTAGGAGCAAGAGACCCTGTCTCAAAAAATAAACTTCCCAAACCAAGGGGCTTTCTGACTCAGCTTGCTCAATTTGCAGCTGGGGACAGATCCTGAGACTAGGTCTCCGCAGAGGCCTAGAATGCTCATTCTGTCCTCAAGGAGAGCAAGCAGTAGCCTGGGAGGGCCAGTGGGGACAAAGGGGTAAGCCCCCAGGTGGGGTGGGTGTCCAGCGACCGCGAGTTCTGCCTCAGGACAGGACGTGCAACGCAAGGGCTCTCTTCTGGCTCTACCCCAAACTAATTGCGGTCATCGTGACCCCTCCATTGAGGTTGGGGTGGGTGGACCCGGGTGTGAGCGGTAGACAGGTAATATCCGCGGGGCCGGGTATGCGGTCTCTAAGGACCGCCATACGGATTAATGCGGCACGGTCGCCCACTAGCAAGCCCATAAGCCGAGCCCTTCCGGTGCCCCTGCTGCGACGGAAGACCCTCTCCAAAAGAAACCTAGTTGACCTACAGTGGGTTCCTCAGTCCAACTGGAGCGAGCAGTCACTCGGCTATACAACCATCGGGCTTGCAGGAAGGGGAGTAAAGACAGCAGACTACAACTCCCGAGAGGTAGGTAGTAAGGGTCTTCGCCTCTCGGTGCTCACGTGACTTTCTTCTCGCCGAGAGGGAGTCACGCGATAGGCCGGAGAGGGCGGGGCACCCCGGTTTGTCCCCGGCGCCAGTGGCCTATGGGCTGCTGGGCCAGATGGGTGCGCGGTAGGGGGTGGAGTCAAACGCGCTGCGGGGCGCGGGAGCGCGCTGGTGGCGGCCACTGTGGGCGGGGAAAGGGGGGCGAGGGACCTTGGCTAAGGCGACGGTGGCAGCTTAGGCACCCGAGGCTGGCGGTAGTGGCGGCTCCTTGTGCGGCTCGGCCAACTTTTTAGTTTGAAACGGAACGGAACGGAACGCTGGGCGTCGCGGGCCCCGCCCGGAAAGTTTGCTGAGGAGCCACGACCTCTTGGCCGGCGCGGCCCGGCATGAAGCGGCGCTGAGGAGTCTCCTCCGCCGCCGCCGCTTGAGGAGCTGCAGTACCTCGGACCACGCCGATGACTACTGCAAACTGTGGCGCCCACGACGAGCTCGACTTTAAACTCGTCTTTGGCGAGGACGGGGCGCCGCCACCGCCGCCCCCGGGCTCGCGGCCTGCAGGTGGGTGCCGGGCCGGGTGGGACCGAGGAGCGTCTGCTCTCCTCTCAAGCCAGCTCGTCGCTTCTCGAATCGGCTGGTTGTCCGGGGACTAATAACCCCGACTGTGTGCGCGTGGTGAATGAAGATGGATATAAATCGCCAAGGCGGCGTGTGGGTTGCTGCGACGTGGAGGTGACGGCAACCGAACTAGGGGAACTTGACGCTGGGACGCCAGTGGTGGGTGGACTCTCGGGATTTGGAGGCCGAGGGTCCGGGCCGCTGCCCAAGTGGCGTCTGGTTGTCGCTCGTTGCCAGCGTGTTGCAGAGAAAATGTCTCTGTGAAGTACTTAAGCGCATATATTTTTTCATCTCTTCTAGGGTCTTTAATTGACAGATGCACATTCTTGAGTGTAGACTTCCCTTAAAAATGTTGTACATGTTTTTAAAAAAAACTTTGTTAGGAGAGTAATGCTTTCGACTTCCAATTACTCAAGTTTATGGCTCACAGCTAATTCGAAGTGTAACTATAACGGGATTTTTTCTGAAAGCGGAGTTTTGCTTAAGCATAGCATTTCAGAAATGTTATTTAAAAGAGAGATGCTTCTTCCTAGCTGTCCTTCAAAGTTGAGAAAGTCGATTTTTGTTTTTATGAGAAAGCTCTCCTTAGAAGTTAATTTAAAGGATCTCTTAAATTGCAAAAGCTGGGCTCCATAATGCTTGCAAGTCAGACCAATCAGGAAATAGAAACAAGATGACTGGGGACTAGAGCTCTCCTGTGACCTGGTTTGGAATACTGAGGTACATTAAGTTTAGTTTCTCTATTACATTTGCAGGCGAACTTCAAAAAAGGAGATGGATAAGAGTGATCCCTATTTATTCTTTCTGGGCATTAGGTGAATTACTTACGTTTTTGTGTTGAGTAGATTGTTCTCCAGATTTGCATTGAAAAAGTTACATGAAGGTGAGGCTTAAGAATTTGCTGAGCAGTATGGTACTAAGTCTTATCAGTTCTTTTTAATCAGTACTTGTTAGATGTCTTTTTAATGAAATACATAATTTATAATAGTTATATATTGCCTGTTTTTCAATTGCACTAATACTATTTAAGCGCCTGTGTAGAAGATACTGTTAGGTACTTTGTCGTATTGATGCAGAAAGGACTGAGGCGTCACAAGGACTTTGGGAAGTAGACACATGCTTAAGTGTGCTGCTAGGAGACCGAATTTGTAGGGTGTTTTGTAATAGAGGAAGAAACAGAAAAGTGCAATTTGTGGAGAGGGTGGTGTTGTACTTAGACGATTTTGGACTTAGCAAA